TGAACTCTTGCTTGCCCACCCCTGCTCTATATCTATACTGTATGCTAGCTAAAAGGTACTACATTGCATATAAATACTGCACTGTACAGTAAATAAACAGTTGGTTGATGGTACACTATGTGTAGGATTGTGTACTAATTGTTGATTTTAAATTAATTTTTTGGTAGTGGTAAAGAGGAATTCTGTTAGCCATTCACTCTCACATCCATAAAGCCCTTGGATAATAGAGTTTCTACTGCACATTATCTAAAATTAACTATTTAGATACTAATTTTCATTTGCAGCATTTTTTACTCACTCTGAGGGACACTGTTCTAACAATTAACTGAAAAATGAAGACTTCCAAAATATATTAACACTCTTCAAATTGGAATAAAAAATAGATATACTAATTCACAGATCTAAGAAACAATCTTCATAATGTTCCTATACAAATGCAAACAATTTATAAACACAGATAATCTGCAAGTTGTTTTACAACGTATAGTCGCTTTTTCTTTTTAGTTTTTTTTAATTTCATATTAAATTTAACATCATAGTTTATATATTATGAATAAAATACATTTTGAGAATGATAGTTAATTAATAAGCTTTAGATGCAATCAGAGTTGAATAAGAATTTCGATTTGAACAGAATATTCACAAAAATTTATTGAACTAGCACCTCACAGTTCACTATCAATTTCTTATATTATTCACAGAGAATGACAGATTGTCAGCTAGATATTGTCTAAAACACCATAAATTTTGTGATATTAATGATTTATTGATAAAAAAAATTATTCAAAATATTTTCTTCAAACAATTTTGCAACTTATTTAATGGGGGAAAAAAAAAACTAGAGTATACACATAAGTTGCATTGTTCAAGAATTAATTGCACCTACTATACTTGTTAAACCATTTAATTTTTGCCTTGATGTTATGAAAGTAGCTCTGACACTCATCATACCATTTTAAATACCAAATGTTAACAATGCAGTTTTTTTTTTTTTTTTTTAATTTTAATGCTAATATTTTTATTCCCAACAAAAATTCTTATTGAGAAGTAAGCACGCATGAATAATTAGCAAACCAGATAACTAAGGGTATACTGTAATTTATCAATATAACATTTTCAAGAATTAGGCTCAATCTATATTGCTAGACTTTACTGAAATATTAAACTAAATATTGTAGCAGATTTTTCTTTACTTTTCAATATGGAGTTTACTATTTGCTAACAAAATTAAAACATTTTTACTTATTTTATCTGTCTAATATCTAAAATAGACTATAATAAAGCATGACAATAAAAGTTAACTGACATAACTATTTTAGTATGTCCACACTCATACAAGTAATTTAAATTAATTCTTAGACTATATATATATATATATATACTTTGTTAATTAACTAACAAAACAACAAAACTATAATTAAAGTTAATTAAATAATACTCATACCAGGTAGTTTGTTTATATCTAAACTAAGCTGTCTTTTCTCATCATAGGACATAGGTTTTGCATTATCTTCGTCTTCACTATCAAAAGCAGAAACAGATTTACTTTTTTTGGAAGATTTTCCATTTGATCTTTGTCGTTTTGTTTGTCCTGGCTGTTTTGTCTGATTAGGCATTTTGGCAGGGGTTGTGTTGTTTTTGTTTTTCACAGGTTTTTGAGTTTTTGAGGGCACTGCTGCAGGTTGAGGAGTGGCAACAGCTGAATCAACAGGCAAGACATCTATCTCCTGTTTAGTTTCTTTAACTTCTTCCTTCTCTTTTTTCTTTTTCTTTCTTTTCTTTTTATCTTTTTTCCTACTTGTCTGTCCAGCCAATACAGAAATTTCTTCGGTAACTTTTCGCAACTATAAAATAAAAATATTTTATTCTATAACATCGACTAATTTGTGATTTAGAAAGTTATTTTATCATTCTCATTCAGATTATAGCAACTTCATTTTAAAGTCAGTTGACGCGCATGGTTTATCATCATAAGATGATTTTGAAAAAGGTACAGAGATCTATTATTATATCAAAATCTTATGTAAATAAAACAAGCTATATTCTATTACCTGTTCTTGTAATTGTTGCAATTTCCTTTCTCTCTCATCTTCGCTATCTTCAGAACCACTGCTAGATGAACTTTCAGAAGAGGAGGATGAACTACTACTACTTGTATCTTCCACTTTATCATTGATTGGAACAATTGGCTCTACTGAAGGTTCATCTGGCATCTTTGCGTAACGCATTTCGAAAACATCCTTTAAAAGATATACATTTTTTTTAATATTAAATAATTCACAAAGTTAAATTATTGATTGCAATATTTAAATGTAAAAAATTATTTAAAAGTTAAAATTCTTATTTATGTTAAAAAGCATTTGAAAAGTAGTTTTAAAATATTAATTATACTTTAAAATTGTACTACTATTTATTGAACTTGTGCTTAAAAAGATATTTTGAATTTAATGTATTTAACTGAAAATACTAAAATGATTTCATCTGTCCAAAAAATTGCATAACCCTTGCACAGGTAAAAGTAAAATTTCTTTAATAAACAGTCAAGCAAAGTTGTTTTGATGAGATATTAGGCCAAAATATCGAAAACAATTGTCAATAACATCTGATTTTATGTAAAATTTACATAAAAATCAGCTGCTATTGCTAAATCTAACTTGTTAAGGAAACAATTTTTAAGGGAAAAAAAAAATTATTATATATAACTATTCTTCAAGTTCATCACTTGTTGCTTTAAGACTTGTTCACTGGACAAATGGATTTAATGTAAATCATTTGATGTAAATATGCATAAAGATCTTGATAGCATGCAGGCCACAGAAAGTCAGAGACCAGCAGGTTGCTCATGACTGTTTAATTTAAAAATGAAAACAAGACTCCTTGATTTTTTTTAAAAGATGTTTCCTTCTATATCTAAAATTCTGAGTTTTTTTATTTTATTTTTTTTATTTGCAAATTTTCTAATATTCATGCTGTATTAGAATGTCATTAGACTCCTTGATTTTTTTTAAAATTTGTTTCCTTCTATATCTAAAATTCTGAGTTTTTTTATTTTATTNATCAATAATAGAAATACTTCATAATCAATCAAATGACTACATTATCAAAATAAAAAGAAAGAAAAAAAAAACAAAAGAAAAATCTCATTTTCTGAATAATATTCAAACCCAACTCCAACAAAGATTTGGGAAAAATAAACAGTCTTTGAACTCTGTCAAGAGACTGGCATAAAATCCTTCTTTAATTCCAACTTATTCTTCAATACCTATAAAAGAAAATTGATTAACCAATTAATATAAGTCAATAGATCTATCAACATTATAGAAATGGAGTAGGAATATTATAAATCAAGACTCTAGGATAAATCTTGAACACGCTCATGTAAATGTGCATAAATGATTTCTTGATGTTCTTTATATCTAATTAAATAAAAACAAAATTAATTTATAATATTTTTTTATAAATTTATGAATAATTTATTTTCTACTTATTCTTTACATATTAAAAATAAATAATTTACTAGAAAATAACAGATAATTCATCTAAAAATTTTGAGGATTAACCCAAAGTATCTATTGTTTATAAGAATTTATTTTACCAAAAGACAAGAATTTCAATTTTTCTATTTCTTTAAATAGAACTTATTTAAAGTTTGGCAAGATTTTTACTAAGAACTATGTGAAATTCATAAAATTACTAATATTAATCTACATTATCTTTTATTAAGCTTTCACAAAATTCTGATCTTCAATACAATTACAAACATATGCTAACTCAATAAAATATATTTTAAAAAATTATTTCATATAATTTTTTTTAAACCAAATAAAGACCACACATTTACAAGCTAGCATTAAGCATTTTAATGCTTAAAAAAATAAATTGTGTATGCTAAAGAAATAGTAGATGTGAACATTGCAAAATATAGTAACATTGCTCTTTTATAAAGTTTTTTCTACTGTTTTGCAGTATTCAATACTAGATCTTTATTATGTATCCCTTTATTCTGTACTATAAAGAAACAGAATTATATTTAAATTATGTAGATGAAAAAGGACAAATGATAGCATATGTAACTATTAGCCAAATTATATTGTTTTAAATAAATATGTCATTACAAAATCTATCAAATTATTAGTCTATACACGTGTTAAAAATTTGAAGATCCTATAATAAATCTAAAATTTTGAGAACCAAACACAGTACAACAATTACTGATAAAAATATAATCTCTAAGTAAATTTTAATAAATTTTTATTGCCACGGACTTTGTTGAAAATGCATAATGAGCATTTTAAGGGTATTTTGGAAGTGAATAGTTTCAAAGAAATGCAAGAGTTAGGGAATGTGAATATCAAACCAATTTGATACTACTTAAATTTGCATTGTATTTTTGAAATATAACATTATATATTTTAATTATGTATTTTTTTTTATTTAGTTAAAATAATAATACTAATATACATTATCATAAACTCTTAAGAATATTTTTTATAAGTTACTCAATTAAGTTTCTTTTTCAGTATATGAATGTAGAAAATTTAAGTTGAAATTTTCAAATTAAAAAAAGATATTTATCAAACTTCCTTAAAAATTAATACTTTTAATTCAGATTATACAATAATAAAATCAGTTATTCATTTAGATTTCAATTAATTTATTTTTTTTAGTAAGGCAATTTTTAATTAATTATTTTTTGTAAAATGTGAGCAGCACTTCAATATAAAAAAAAATTTTCTAAAGCATAAATATCCTATAGACTCATTAATAACTAAATTATTAAATTAATATTACATTTATTTAAAATTTTAACTAAAACATACAATTATTGTTTTATTATTGATTTCTGCTGTTTTGTCTGAAAAACTATTTAAATTCTGGGGAACACCCCTTTAAAAATACTCTGTTTTTATATATTTTTCTTACAAACAGTTTGTTTATTTAATACATGATCATTGCTACTTATTTCTAATTTCGTATTCTTCTATTTTTAGAGAATTTACCTTTCTTTTGAGATTTCTTCGAAGATCCTAGCTGACCGCTAACATCCTGTAGCCTTTTTTCCAGTTCCTGTTTCCTCTCTCGCACCTGTTCTTCTTTTGATTTTCCAGGACCTTTATTCTTTGTCACTATTATTGAATTTATAACAACACCTTAAATAACTAAAGAAGTCTTTCAAAATTTAAAGTTTGCAATCTCTGAAAATCAATTATTCAAAAATTTCACGCAAATCCAAATCACTAAATTATTTAGGATAAAAAATATATATATATAAAAATAATTTAATAAAAAGTCATTTATCATTTAAAAAATAAATGACATATTTAAAGTTTAATAAAATTCAATCCTCCGATAAAAATTAAATTTTATTACACTTTTTTAACTAAATTTATATGCATTTTGTTCATTCCAAGCCTGATTATTGATTTTAAAACTCCAATTAAGTAATAATTTTCTCTTTAATATCAAGTTATATCTGTAACAGCATTTAAAGTAAATTATTATAAAAATATATTGACATAGTTCTCTGATACCATACAGCATTTTGTTATAAGTTTTTATACATAATTAATAAAGTAATATTTCTGTAATTATACGAATAACATGCATAAATTATATTGGTCAGATGGGTAAGCAAGCATTAATATTTCTTAAAATTTATACACTGAGTCACAAACAAGTTTCATTAAAAAAGTATTAAATAAAAGAAAGTTCTTAGCTTGGCACATAATCTGAATTTAGCTAATAAAGTTGTGTAGAATTACTTTAAACTTATACTCTTTAATTTGAGAATGAAACAATCTCTTAATTTTACATTTTACCTGAATAAATTTCTGTGTCTTTATTAAGAAATATAAATCAACTAGCTTGCCCTTTAACCAACTTAATTATAAACAATAGTATATGCACATATATGTATGTATATGTGCTTATGTTAACATATTTACTTAATACTTTTTTTTTATCAGGATGAATAATAATAATATTCCCAAAATTCAATATTAGAATTAGTTCTCTTACAAAGTAGAATGCTTAGGCTGAAAAGTAACTGTAAAATACAGTATTACATACTTATTTACACTCTAATGAAACAGTCTCTTGTAAAAAAAAATAAATAAAAAAGCAATCTTAAAGTGTTACAAAGCAAATGCTGGTTTAAAAATTTAATAAATTTAAGGTTGCTAACATATTATAATTTTGAACTATAATTGTCTCAAGTATATATTATCTCCAAAATAAGTATTAAAATTGATTTAAATATCCAAAGCTAACAGAAGTAATTTTCAGTTTGTATTTTATATACATTGTTTTCCAAAAGAAACACACCATAGGAGATTGTGTGTAAAGCTTGTAGACAAAGCATCAGAGACAGGCGTATATGGTATTGATTACATGTTGCATTATTTTGGGTCTACAATACTCCAAATGGAAATTAATTGCACAAAATTCATATGATGGTCAAATCACTTTCAAGTAATTTAGATCCAGCTGCACAGTTCTGTAACTAATTAGTATGCAAGTTCTGTCTTCAGTAAGCAGATGATAACTAGAATGTGACATATTACTGGTTTTTTTATGTTAGTTAACTGCCAACTACAAGACAACTCGTAGTTTGCATTATTACCTAGGAAACCACCTACGAGTTATCTCATAATTTTTTACTTGCCATATTTGTGCATCTACGATTTAATTTGTAGTATATCAGTATAAATATGGATAGATAGCCTCAGGGGCAAGAACAAAAATCAAGGTTGGCTCACATGAACAGAAAATATAATCATAAAAAGTTTATTCAAAATCAAAAGCATATTTTTATTGTTTGTGATAATTTTTAAAACAATCTTCCACATAAAGGTCTGGCTTCTCTGGACAGATTGGACAGAAATAATGCATTTCTCGGCGTGTTTCAGCTTTGGTACAAATTCAACATGGCTTTGTCAGATACTGTTTTTTTTTTTTTTTTTTTTTTTTTTTTTTTTTTTTNTTTTTTTTTTTTTTTTTTTTTTTTTTTTTTTTTTTTTTTTTTTTTTTTTTTTTTTTTTTTTTTTTTTTTTTTTTTTTTTTTTTTTTTTTTTTTTTTTTTTTTTTTTTTTTTTTTTTTTTTTTTTTTTTTTTTTTTTTTTTTTTTTTTTTTTTTTTTTTTTTTTTTTTTTTTTTTTTTTTTTTTTTTTTTTTTTTTTTTTTTTTTTTTTTTTTTTTTTTTTTTTTTTTTTTTTTTTTTTTTTTTTTTTTTTTTTTTTTTTTTTTTTTTTTTTTTTTTTTTTTTTTTTTTTTTTTTTTTTTTTTTTTTTTTTTTTTTTTTTTTTTTTTTTTTTTTTTTTTTTTTTTTTTTTTTTTTTTTTTTTTTTTTTTTTTTTTTTTTTTTTTTTTTTTTTTTTTTTTTTTTTTTTTTTTTTTTTTTTTTTTTTTTTTTTTTTTTTTTTTTTTTTTTTTTTTTTTTTTTTTTTTTTTTTTTTTTTTTTTTTTTTTTTTTTTTTTTTTTTTTTTTTTTTTTTTTTTTTTTTTTTTTTTTTTTTTTTTTTTTTTTTTTTTTTTTTTTTTTTTTTTTTTTTTTTTTTTTTTTTTTTTTTTTTTTTTTTTTTTTTTTTTTTTTTTTTTTTTTTTTTTTTTTTTTTTTTTTTTTTTTTTTTTTTTTTTTTTTTTTTTTTTTTTTTTTTTTTTTTTTTTTTTTTTTTTTTTTTTTTTTTTTTTTTTTTTTTTTTTTTTTTTTTTTTTTTTTTTTTTTTTTTTTTTTTTTTTTTTTTTTTTTTTTTTTTTTTTTTTTTTTTTTTTTTTTTTTTTTTTTTTTTTTTTTTTTTTTTTTTTTTTTTTTTTTTTTTTTTTTTTTTTTTTTTTTTTTTTTTTTTTTTTTTTTTTTTTTTTTTTTTTTTTTTTTTTTTTTTTTTTTTTTTTTTTTTTTTTTTTTTTTTTTTTTTTTTTTTTTTTTTTTTTTTTTTTTTTTTTTTTTTTTTTTTTTTTTTTTTTTTTTTTTTTTTTTTTTTTTTTTTTTTTTTTTTTTTTTTTTTTTTTTTTTTTTTTTTTTTTTTTTTTTTTTTTTTTTTTTTTTTTTTTTTTTTTTTTTTTTTTTTTTTTTTTTTTTTTTTTTTTTTTTTTTTTTTTTTTTTTTTTTTTTTTTTTTTTTTTTTTTTTTTTTTTTTTTTTTTTTTTTTTTTTTTTTTTTTTTTTTTTTTTTTTTTTTTTTTTTTTTTTTTTTTTTTTTTTTTTTTTTTTTTTTTTTTTTTTTTTTTTTTTTTTTTTTTTTTTTTTTTTTTTTTTTTTTTTTTTTTTTTTTTTTTTTTTTTTTTTTTTTTTTTTTTTTTTTTTTTTTTTTTTTTTTTTTTTTTTTTGGGTAGGTGGATACTCTGTAAATAATGAAGCTGTTGCAATATAATTTTTTTTGAAACTGGTTGCATCTCTTCTCCAATCAATGCATTGACAAATGCTTCTCTAAACTTTATAAGTTTTACTTTAGAAGAAGTTGCTTTTTGAAAAAGTTTGTGTGCATTGTGTATATATATACTCTATATGTAATGCAACCTTTTTGGGCCATCTAATAGTCTTTCTCAGATCTGTGTAGTATGATAGCATATGATCTGATCAGTCAATGCCAGACATTCTTTGATTGTAATCTCAAATTATATTCAGTTTGTCGGATTCTGAATCACTTAGATTACCGTAATACTCAAGTTGTTTTTCAGTCAATGGCCTTTTCTTATCCATGTTGGGGTATTTATAATTTGATTATAAAAATAATTATAAAACAACATACTCAAGAAAGACATAAATATGATGCACTCGACTTTATATCTGATTTATTACTAACGAATTTAGACGCTCGGCTGTTGTGAAGCGACAGGTCAAATTGTGTCTGTGAACAAATAAACTCGTAGTTTGGCTTTAGCAAATTCGTAAGATAATTAGATAATTTGTAAGATCTTTTTTTAAACAAAAACACATTCTATATGCTTTTTGATGATTACTATGTACTATAATTAGAGCTTTTAATAATATAATGTAATTAAATTAAGCTTTTACATTGAAATCCTGAAACCTTGGCAGTCAACGCATTATATAAAACTTTAAAAATTTAGTTTTAGTACCATTTTGCAATATTGAACACCCAGAATGATGTATCATATAACCAATATACTATAAACTCATCTCTGATGCTTTGCCTACAAGCTTCTCCACACAATTTCCTATAGTGCATTTCTTTTGAAAAACACTATATATTTTTACACTAATATATTGCTATTATATTTTGTTTCTTACATCTATAACCATCTATCACTTAATTTTATGCTGATATTTTACTATAAATGAATTACACAAAAAAAATTAATAGGCCCTCTAAAATGATCATTTTTAAAAATGACCAATTCCTTTATTTTCATTTTACAGAGTATAATTTTGACATCAGTATTATTTTCTGTTCTTTAGTAGCTTAATTTCTGCACAAAAATCACACTAATGTGATATGGTTTTAATTTTATAAATTAAGTTAAATCCTTATTTCAATTTTCTACTAATCTACAGCCTTTTTTTAAATTTTAAAAACTATATTCACTAGGAATTTACAGAAATATATAATGATTAAATCAAATTTTAATTGGCTAATGAAATATACTTTTACTAGTATTAAAATTTAATTAAGTTAATCTAAATGCCACTGATTATATATTTCAAACTTAAATAAATAATGATAATTTTATGTCAATTAAACCACTAAGATTTAAGTAAATGGAATGAGAGAAAAATTATTCATATAAAATGTGATAAGGACTTTATGTATATTAATAATAGCAAAAGTTACCATATTTCAATAGCAATATATATCTAAATTCACTAAGTATTAACTTTAATACCAATAGAAATCTTAATAAAATCGAAAATGTTTCATTATTTCAACATTATTATTCTTGATCATAAACTATTTTATTCTGTAACTTTTCAGTATATGACAATTTCAAAATGGCTTTCCTCCTACAAATACTTACGATAAGGTTTTCTGGGTTTCTTCCTTAAGCAAGAAGCAACATATGATTCCAGTTCTCTTAATGTAGATGGCTTTAATGTTTCAAAATCTATCTCTATTTCATCGGGATTCGAATCACGCAATGACGGCTCCCTTGACTGAATAATGTGCACAACCCTTCCAAGTTTATCACCTGAAACAAAGAGAAATCATAAATAAAAATTCATAAACAGATATCAAAAAATGCTTTGTGATAAACTAACTATAATATCTTAATCAAATTTACAATTTTTGTATAGAAGATGCAATTCTTGGCATCACTGGCACATTAAATAAGCCTCCCTCCACATCTGACTTCTTACATAAATTTGCAGTTAACAATGTCAACAGATCTACGAGTGTGAGATTTTATTACAATTATCCCACATATATGCACACATATGGTAAAAACTCAATTATACACCACTCTAAACCATTACAGCGCTAAATTCAGCTTTAGGGCATAGAATAGAGTTACTTTATGTTTTCTTTTTTGTTACTGCCTGAAAGTATATACTGTACTGAATTTTACTATATGGAAGCCTCTATAGAACTGCATGCAGTTCTTTTTGAGTTACATGCGGCTCTTGCTGAAAGTGTTAATTTCTGCTTTTTATTATTATTTTTACAATTTTATTTCCACAATTTTGTGAAAATATGTTTATTAAAAAAATCCAATATTTGTTTTATATTATAATTATATTATATAATAAAATTGCAGTACAGAACTGCAGTACATAATAAAAAAAGTACAGAACTGCGGCTCCCATGCAATTTGCAAAACCTACATTTTGGCTCCCACTGAACTCTTGCTTGCCCACCCCTGCTCTATATCTATACTGTATGCTAGCTAAAAGGTACTACATTGCATATAAATACTGCACTGTACAGTAAATAAACAGTTGGTTGATGGTACACTATGTGTAGGATTGTGTACTAATTGTTGATTTTAAATTAATTTTTTGGTAGTGGTAAAGAGGAATTCTGTTAGCCATTCACTCTCACATCCATAAAGCCCTTGGATAATAGAGTTTCTACTGCACATTATCTAAAATTAACTATTTAGATACTAATTTTCATTTGCAGCATTTTTTACTCACTCTGAGGGACACTGTTCTAACAATTAACTGAAAAATGAAGACTTCCAAAATATATTAACACTCTTCAAATTGGAATAAAAAATAGATATACTAATTCACAGATCTAAGAAACAATCTTCATAATGTTCCTATACAAATGCAAACAATTTATAAACACAGATAATCTGCAAGTTGTTTTACAACGTATAGTCGCTTTTTCTTTTTAGTTTTTTTTAATTTCATATTAAATTTAACATCATAGTTTATATATTATGAATAAAATACATTTTGAGAATGATAGTTAATTAATAAGCTTTAGATGCAATCAGAGTTGAATAAGAATTTCGATTTGAACAGAATATTCACAAAAATTTATTGAACTAGCACCTCACAGTTCACTATCAATTTCTTATATTATTCACAGAGAATGACAGATTGTCAGCTAGATATTGTCTAAAACACCATAAATTTTGTGATATTAATGATTTATTGATAAAAAAAATTATTCAAAATATTTTCTTCAAACAATTTTGCAACTTATTTAATGGGGGAAAAAAAAAACTAGAGTATACACATAAGTTGCATTGTTCAAGAATTAATTGCACCTACTATACTTGTTAAACCATTTAATTTTTGCCTTGATGTTATGAAAGTAGCTCTGACACTCATCATACCATTTTAAATACCAAATGTTAACAATGCAGTTTTTTTTTTTTTTTTTTAATTTTAATGCTAATATTTTTATTCCCAACAAAAATTCTTATTGAGAAGTAAGCACGCATGAATAATTAGCAAACCAGATAACTAAGGGTATACTGTAATTTATCAATATAACATTTTCAAGAATTAGGCTCAATCTATATTGCTAGACTTTACTGAAATATTAAACTAAATATTGTAGCAGATTTTTCTTTACTTTTCAATATGGAGTTTACTATTTGCTAACAAAATTAAAACATTTTTACTTATTTTATCTGTCTAATATCTAAAATAGACTATAATAAAGCATGACAATAAAAGTTAACTGACATAACTATTTTAGTATGTCCACACTCATACAAGTAATTTAAATTAATTCTTAGACTATATATATATATATATATACTTTGTTAATTAACTAACAAAACAACAAAACTATAATTAAAGTTAATTAAATAATACTCATACCAGGTAGTTTGTTTATATCTAAACTAAGCTGTCTTTTCTCATCATAGGACATAGGTTTTGCATTATCTTCGTCTTCACTATCAAAAGCAGAAACAGATTTACTTTTTTTGGAAGATTTTCCATTTGATCTTTGTCGTTTTGTTTGTCCTGGCTGTTTTGTCTGATTAGGCATTTTGGCAGGGGTTGTGTTGTTTTTGTTTTTCACAGGTTTTTGAGTTTTTGAGGGCACTGCTGCAGGTTGAGGAGTGGCAACAGCTGAATCAACAGGCAAGACATCTATCTCCTGTTTAGTTTCTTTAACTTCTTCCTTCTCTTTTTTCTTTTTCTTTCTTTTCTTTTTATCTTTTTTCCTACTTGTCTGTCCAGCCAATACAGAAATTTCTTCGGTAACTTTTCGCAACTATAAAATAAAAATATTTTATTCTATAACATCGACTAATTTGTGATTTAGAAAGTTATTTTATCATTCTCATTCAGATTATAGCAACTTCATTTTAAAGTCAGTTGACGCGCATGGTTTATCATCATAAGATGATTTTGAAAAAGGTACAGAGATCTATTATTATATCAAAATCTTATGTAAATAAAACAAGCTATATTCTATTACCTGTTCTTGTAATTGTTGCAATTTCCTTTCTCTCTCATCTTCGCTATCTTCAGAACCACTGCTAGATGAACTTTCAGAAGAGGAGGATGAACTACTACTACTTGTATCTTCCACTTTATCATTGATTGGAACAATTGGCTCTACTGAAGGTTCATCTGGCATCTTTGCGTAACGCATTTCGAAAACATCCTTTAAAAGATATACATTTTTTTTAATATTAAATAATTCACAAAGTTAAATTATTGATTGCAATATTTAAATGTAAAAAATTATTTAAAAGTTAAAATTCTTATTTATGTTAAAAAGCATTTGAAAAGTAGTTTTAAAATATTAATTATACTTTAAAATTGTACTACTATTTATTGAACTTGTGCTTAAAAAGATATTTTGAATTTAATGTATTTAACTGAAAATACTAAAATGATTTCATCTGTCCAAAAAATTGCATAACCCTTGCACAGGTAAAAGTAAAATTTCTTTAATAAACAGTCAAGCAAAGTTGTTTTGATGAGATATTAGGCCAAAATATCGAAAACAATTGTCAATAACATCTGATTTTATGTAAAATTTACATAAAAATCAGCTGCTATTGCTAAATCTAACTTGTTAAGGAAACAATTTTTAAGGGAAAAAAAAAATTATTATATATAACTATTCTTCAAGTTCATCACTTGTTGCTTTAAGACTTGTTCACTGGACAAATGGATTTAATGTAAATCATTTGATGTAAATATGCATAAAGATCTTGATAGCATGCAGGCCACAGAAAGTCAGAGACCAGCAGGTTGCTCATGACTGTTTAATTTAAAAATGAAAACAAGACTCCTTGATTTTTTTTAAAAGATAATATTTTATATATTAAGTTTTAAAATTATTTTACAATAAAAAAAAAACAGAAAAGTCATGACTATTTTTTTAAATGATTGTTCTAGGGTATAAAATTGAAATGAGTAGACTGTTTTTATATAGATATGTTTTTGGATATAATTTTTTATAATTAAAAACAGATTTTTAAAGTAGTTATTAAAGAACCACATGTCATATCACATAATTTTGAACATTTGCGTGTTGCATCAATCTCCTTCAGATTATTAGTTATGTTGCTTATGAAATGATAGAAGGTTAATTTCATTATGCTTTCAAATGAGGAGTTTAAAGTGATATTCAAATTAAAATTTAGTAAAAATTATTTGTTTCTAATAATCAACAAATTATTTAGAAATTTTTATGCAACAGAAAATAAACAGTGGATAGAAAACAAAGTTTTAACAACTATAAAGCAATGCTCCGCAACCTTTTCTTATGGTATACCTACATATTTACTAAATGCTGTGACACACAAGTAAATATATACATAAAATATAGGAATTACAACATACGGTATATTAAAAAAACACTGATTTACTGTTTTTTTAACTTGTGATCATATAAAAATTTTTAAAATTAGTTTATAATGGATTTTTTTTATTTTGATTTTATTTCTTAACAACCCAGAAACAACCCTAGACAAAGTATCATGCATTCCTAGTGTGAAAAGCATACGATCAGGGTCTCGAGTCTGATCTTAGGTACACATTACAGGTGAATCTTGTTGCTTCACAAAATTGAGATGGTGACTTGCCAAATTTACATGTGCACATATTCTGTGAGGCAAAAATGTTAAAAGTTTGAAGCTTGTTAGAATTTTTTCTGTAACAAACATCAGCAGTAATAAATATGCAACAGGCAAATCATCATCCCTTCTGGAATCAACATGTATTTATCATATTCATGTGTCAACCACAAACTGTGTTTTTCCTCCTCTCAGAGACATTGTGTCACAGAACACCAGTTGCGGAGCTCTACTACAAAGTATGCAAAATAATTCCAATTTACCTGTAATTTTCTTGCCATTGCAACAACTTCATGATCAGCAGGGTTATATTTATAACAATTTGTAAATATTAATCTTACATCAGTAGCAAAGTCATAATGGGAGTTATATTCTCTATTATCCATTTTTTCCTTGTGGAAAAAAATAAATAATTTTCAATACACACATCAGTATATGAATATTAATAAAATTGATCAATTATTTATATACTTAAATGATATTCATCAAAATAAATATAGTAACTTTAATTTATTATTGTTTGCTTTGTATCTAGTAGAATCCATTATCATTTTTGGTGATCAGGTATTCTATCCAATCTTTTTTTACTATTATCACCAAAAATGATAATAATAACTTTAATATTAAGCTTTTTATGTGAGTAAATCAATCTTATTATACTTTATTATTAATATATCAATTTTTATATGTACTGTATTTCTAATTCAGCTTTAGCTTTATAGTTAAACCTAGCTTCATTAAAACTGCTACTCTCGGCTATAATTTAAAGGAAAAATTTTGATATTTGTAATATATAGGTAAATTCTCAAGCTGTGTTGTAACATGTACAAGAAAATTGTATGAGTTACAACACGTTATGACATGAGAATTGGATATATCCCCCGTACAACATGGTCCAAGAACATCCCTGCACAAAACATCACAATTTTAAAGAGCAAACCCCATCATTTGATATTTTTTATTTAAACAAGCATGTATGTCAGCTCATATTTTCCCATGGATTTTAAAATATTGAAATTTTCAATGTTTTGTGCCTTTTGCCCAGTTTTCTTAAATGAAAAATGACCGTACAATATTTATTATTTCTTGTCTTATCTTCCTATAAACCAGGTGTTGCCATTGTTGGTGATAGTGCTTTAAATAAACCCAAAAGACCGTTGCTGTAGTTTGTTTTACAGATTTAATTAAAAATTACTATATAAAAAGATTTAATTTGTAAAGATAGGCAAATGCAAGCAAATGAATATATCAGATTTTGTGAAGAAAATACAAAAAATTCAAGATGTTGCTGATAATTGAGATTAGGTCAACAGGAAAGCTCAGAATATGATGATATTTTGTCAAAAAGAAAATGTCCTTGTTTAATGGTGTTTAGAAGTGATAAAAAATTAATATTAATGTGCAATACTTTTGATTCTGATTGTTAGTTTTAGTTAATTATTAATTGCTTTAATAATCATATTTCTCTTAATTACAAAAAAAAAATAGTACAGTTTTGCTAACTTTTGGAACTAACCCTATGTTTTGTATTAGTCCTTTATTTTGTATAGCACAGATTTGGATAACACAACATTTTTTCAGAACCTAATTCCATGTTACATGGGGGATAAATGTACACAGTTTTAATTTTAGTAGTACAATGTTTAAAATTCCAAATATTTTTTTATTCACATAAACTTTGTTTATATATAAAATTTGTAATTTTTCAATTCTAACATATAGCATAACGATAACAACTGAAAATGTTTTATGCTTTAATGAGTTAAAGCATTTTTCATTTCTTTTAAACTTTTTGGTGGAATTTTTGGTAGAATCCTTTGTCTTCGTTAATAATGTTCTTATATGAAATTTCATAGCAAACTTACCATATATCTGCACAGATAAGACGTTAGTTGAATCATAAAAAAGCCCCCAAATCTGGGGTAGTCTTATAGGATAGATACAAAAAAAAATTAGATTGAAATTTATATAAATTAATATCTTTATTAAAAAATGGAAAAACTGTAATTAATTAGACAGTAGGCTATGTCCACAAAATAGAATAGTCCATACGATGTTTTTGTGAATAGGACATAATTCCATATAAGCTATACAGTATTATTATCCAGGTGACGATTGCTGATCTAAACTAAATTCATAGGCCGTTGATAGTTTGGGGGTCGTCTTATAGGACAGATATAATGATAAAACTTTGACGAAAATTTATACCTCGTCTTATCTGCACAGATATACGGTATTTTATCAAAGCCTTTAATTAAATAATATACACCTGAATATTTTTGGATAATAGTCTTATACAAAATTAATCATTTGATTAGATTATTTTAACAATCTTAACATAGCCTATCTGTAACCTGTATGGAATATTGCATTTATATTTAACTTCAAACACCATTTTAAGAGATTACTGAATATTTATTTACTAATCTGCTTAAACATTTATTCATTTAGTTTAACATAAATAAATGTTACAATTAACAATATGTGATATTAATAATTTATCATCATATTTAAAAGATGAATAACTAAATTAACAAAAAAATTAATCACACATACTTTCACGGTTCCTAGATCCATGGGATGTTTAATAATATCGTGGTAATCATGAAGTCCTAATCGAAAAGCATCTACTGGTTTATAAAATGGCCAAGCATATCCCTAATAAGAGGATAATATAAAAAAATTATTATCCAAATTAAAAAAAAAACATTTTAATTCAAAGATTTTTTATATGTATTCTTAAAATAAGGAAAAAAGTAATGTTTATTACTTTTTAAAACAACAAAACAAAATTCCTTTAAAGAATTCTTTCAATATATTCAATAACAAAAATTAGATTCCAAATTTGTAAATCTATATTATAATTATTTTTACCATCTTTTCTTAAATTTATTAAAATGTACACATATAATTAATTTTATAAGTTTTTCTGATCAGTCCAACTCAGTTCAGTTGCCCATAGATACATGTTTCTACATAGCTAAGATTCCCTGTTAGCCAGACCTGAAACTTTGAACAAGGTAAGACACTTGGCACTGTCACTGTTTTGACAGCTTCTAGTCCAAATGTTTTTCATCAACAACTAGGCATTTGATTAAAAATTACTAATCCTAAACTTTTACACTTTTAGATACTTTTTCCATAAAATTTTCCACTCTCGCTTGAGGAGTATTTTTAAATAAACTCATTTATTTAAAAAATTTTCAAATGATCTAACTAAATTACTTTACAGGAGTGATAAACATAATATGGTATATTCTTATATTTTTGTTTTTTTAATATAAAAATAGCTTTAAATTATAAAACAATTTTTAGTAATATGGAAGGTAAGTAAACAAAATGATTTTTTCTATCAAGTTGCACTATCTTTTATCTGAACTTTGTCTTAAACAATACACAGTAATGATTAAAATGACAAGATTAATTTAATTATGTTACTTACAGCATGCTTTTTGGCAAATAATTCTTTTAAAATACTGCTACAGTATTTCATTTGTTCTGTTAATCTTCCCTTTTTCGTTTTTGCAGGATGCTATTATAAATAACAACATGCCATTATAATTATATTCAATAAAGTAAAAGAAAATGTTATAAATTCTTTTTATACAGAATCTTACCTGTTCTTTGACTCCACTTTTATTACCCCGAACAGTTAAGTCTATCTGTATATTTTGTACAGAAAAAAAATTACTTTTTTAATTTCTACACATTTACTTAACTATCAAATAATTCCGTAAAATATACATATAATAAAATTTAAAAATTAGACACATTTTAAATTTAAACAATTATACAATATAATTTTAACTTACTTGAGTATCTGGTAAATCTTTAGATGGCTTTTTAATTGGTCTTCCACTTTCCCTCCTTGAAATTTTCTGCATTTTTGCATCAGGTGGAGGGGTGGTGGCCGTAGGTGGAAGCTGATATACAGAATCATAACCTGAGTTTGTTGTTGGCGTAGTCGTGTCTGCTTTTCTTTTCACTCCTTTTTTCATCTAAAATAATAAATAAATTACATTTATTAATTGTCAAATAAAGATTGCGAAAATAAATGACAACACATCAGTAAAATTATTTGCATTGATATCAGAAAATTTGTATCAAATTAAATAAAATCTACCATAAAATGCTTAAAAAATAAAAATAACAACAATAACAAAGAAACACATCATCATTGTTACAGCAGCAACAATATAAAAAATATTGATGCTGCTGTAACAATGATGATGTGTTTCTTTGACTGTTATTAATTAATTTCTATAAAACCTGATATTATATTATATTTCTTTGAAAATTTAAGTTTTGTAATAAAATCTATTGTATCAAAACTTTGATTTTACTAATGATTAGAAAAGATCTTCCTATTATTTATTTATTAACATTACTAATTGAATTCTGTTAATCATCATATAGCTTTTAAATATTTAATAAATTCTTCCTAAAATAATCGTTAAAAATACCTTCGCAGGTGCCGTTTGGACCATACTACTTGATGTGTTTGGAGTGTTGCTTAATGACTGAATTAGTTGACTATCTTGACTGGTGTTTCCAGTTGCTGGTGATGCTGCCAATGGAGAGTCTATCATACCTGCATAGTTATTTGATTTAACTATCTGCTGGGTATTTTGAGAAACAGTATAAGTTGATGCTGTAAGAGTAGTTGGAGTATTAGTACTACCGGGTATACTCCTAGGAGCAACTGTACTCATTGGAGGAGGTAGTGATGTTTGTATACTAGGAATTGATGGAATGACAGGATTGGAATTGGGGATTGATCCAGGTGCAGAAATTGAATTTGCCATACTTGTAGTTGTACTAGCTGCTGCTATAAATAAAAAACAAACAATATTAATATAATTCTTAAGAGAATTTTTAAATTTCTTATATTTAAACTAAAAAAACTAATTAATTCTGCATCAATAAATCTATTTTAAAAATCAATGTTACATTGTTATAAAAAAAAATANATTGAATTCCCCTTTTTTCCTATTTTAAAAGTTTTTTGCCCAAATAATACAGCATCCTGTAATTATTTTAGTGGCTGGTGCAATCACTCACATTCAAATATATGTACTTCATTTTGTCAATTAATATTGCTAATGCATTCTAGGTATTACGGGTTAAGAAGCAAATTGCCAAACTGACCAGTATAGTGCTATAATATGATACTTTAAAAATTGCAGTGTAGAGTAATAATTTAAAAGATAAATAAACAAAAGCTGAAGAAACATTAAACAAAATAGTCAAGCACAATAAAACTAAACATCAAACAAATTTTGAGAGTATCTCATACCATAAATATTTCTCTTTAAAGCATAATATAAATGTATAGGAAAAAATAAAAAATTCAGCAAATAAATCTTACAAAAAGTTTTCTTATATATATTCAATTTTTATTTAATATGGTGCAATTTCATATTCATAAACTAACCAGTAAGAAATAGTTTAGTAAAGCAGGAAAAACAATCAACCAACATTCTGTAATATTATCTTTTGTTTCAACTTACTTTTCATTTTAATACAATGCCTTGTTATATTAATATTATTTCATAATTTTATGAATCTCACTTTATTTTATGCTATTTTACTTTATGCAAATACATAATATCAAATAATAAAAGAAAGAAAGAATAAATAATAAAATAATAGTACTATAATGAAAACAATAATTCCATTAGAAGACAAACAAGAAAAACGATAAAAATCACAAAATAAATATTCTAAAAAAAAAGATATAAACATTTATATAATTTAAATTTGTAACATTTAAACTTCATCTTGATGTTTCAAAATGTAGTGTTTCTTATAAAAAAAACCTTCAAAAACAGCACAAGTAAACAGTCTAGAGCAGAGATTTTCAAATGTGGCCACAAAGAAAATATCTTTGTTACCAGGTGAAATCTCCAATCAAATAACCAATTTTTCAGCTTATCAATCACTAAGTATCATTGAAATGTCTGTCATTTAAATGCAAAGGAATAGGGATACTACTGCAAAATATTCATGTCGTATTTTCATATAAGTGCAGCAGCCACAGAAATATTATCAAAGAACCTCCTGTCAATAGATATTCATGCTAAATATTATCGAAACTATACAACATGATGATAAGCAGAGTTAAAATACCAAAAAATATTTCTTGCAAATCAAAATACACTAAATAATTGTAAAAACTTGAAAAATCTAACAAAGTTTGATACAAAAAGAATTTAATAAAAAAGGAATACGGAATAATTTACTAGTCAATAGATAGTTTACATTAATAAACTGCTTGTTATAATTGTTCAGCTAATGCAACTGGCAGTCTTTTCTGCATTTCTTTCATCATTTATTTACTTATATATTTTATTTTTTGCCAGATTATTGGAATTTTGTTAGGCATTATTGCAAGGTTATTATTATAATATTTGTCTACATATTAAAAACTCAAGTTATATCATTATGTAAATGATTTATCAAAATGCAGAAAGCATATATGACTTTAAAATTGAGTAATAATTTAACATTTTGTTAATTTTTTCATTGAACAGTATATTATATATCAACTTGACCATATTAAAACTTACTATAATCAACTTAGCAATTCTGATTATGATCTTTTTTATATAGCTTTTAATAAACATTCCATTTTAAAATTAATGTAATAATGATTTTTCTGAATGTCATATAATGGAAGTTAATAGTTTAAAATCATACTTTAGAAATGAAAATATACCAGATCAATTTTAAAACGATAACCTCTTTCATGTTATTACTGTAATCATCTCATCACGACATTTAAAAATTTAAATTACTTAAAACTATTTATTAAATCATTATATAGTCAATATTGTTAATCAAGTTTATACAAATACCTCTTCCTCGTCCACCACCTTTCTTCTTTCCTTTACCTTTCATACCTGACAACTTAGATGGTGGCAAAGGTATTTCAATCTCCTGTTAAAAAAGTTGTTATTTTTTTTTAATTTCATAATTAAAAACACTTATTCTAGATAAGGCCTGAGCTCAACATTCTGAAAATACAACTGAAACAGAAAACTGAAAAGCTTCTAGTTTTTATGCTTGTACAGTTCAGGAGAAAACTTGGACTTGAAAACAAAGTTGAAAATATTTAACTTTTCTATTGCTGTTCAGCTTTTCAGTTGTAATTTAACCAATAACAAATCATTTCATAAGTGATGTCAGCAAAATGGAGAAGTTCTCATTGACCTTGTCTCAATATTATGAAAAATAAGTAACAAAAGAAAACATAATATTGAATTAAGGAGGTTACTTATAATCAACACGAATACCGAAGTGATTAGAACTTCCTTCATTTTTGAAAAATTGGTTTTGGCAATTGCTGCAGTGTGTTACAAATTACCTGTTTTTTGTTTTCAGTTAACGTGATGCTCAGCTGAAACAAAATTATTTAATTTTTCAGTTTTCATTATCAGTTTGTTTCCAGTCAATGTGAAAGCCCAGACCTAAATACTTATTAAAATAAATTCAATACAGTAAACATAATAATGAAATTAATATGTTAAGTAATGTTATTGGTAGGGGCTGCAAATTTATTTACCAACTTTTTTATTGATAAAATGGTAATTCTGAAAACATTACACCAGTTTTTATTGGTCAATTACCATAATTTTTAAATTTTGACTTCAAATGCAAAAATTAGCACATTAATGATTGTTTAGTCTCAAATCATTGTGTGTCACAACTAAATTTTTAGTGCTCTATGACGAATTGAATTCCCCTTTTTTCCTATTTTAAAAGTTTTTTGCCCAAATAATACAGCATCCTGTAATTATTTTAGTGGCTGGTGCAATCACTCACATTCAAATATATGTACTTCATTTTGTCAATTAATATTGCTAATGCATTCTAGGTATTACGGGTTAAGAAGCAAATTGCCAAACTGACCAGTATAGTGCTATAATATGATACTTTAAAAATTGCAGTGTAGAGTAATAATTTAAAAGATAAATGATGTTAACTACTTTTTCAGTTTTAATAAAAATATTTGACACTTCTGTTTTTATTATCTAAAAATATATGAGCAGGTGTATGTAAATATTTAGCCTCAAAAATTATTACATCTGTAATTTCTTACCAATTTTAATGATGAAAAATAATCAAATTCATGGTATATTTGCAAATGCATTTTTTTTTAAACCTGATTAACAGCAAACAATTTACTAGTATTGCAATCACTAGTTAGGGAGATATAGTAATTTCAACTATCAATTATGTATTTCAAAAATTCTGATATGTTGACCAAAAAAGCTTAAGATTAATTATGTTTAAGAAGAATGAATATTTTTTTGTATATGTCTTCATTACTGTATACTTTTTATATTTTTTTAAAATTAAGATCCATTAATAAAAATATAACATTCAATATCTCAAATATTAAATCTTACAGATTAGTTTTCTTTCTTTTTTTTAATAACATTTGTCATAGATTTTGCTAAAAACTATTTAATAAAATGTATTATTGATGCAATAAAATAAATCTTTCTAATTTCTTTAATATTAAATTTCATTGTTACTGATATTTATTTAAACATAATGCTTTTATTTATATTTTACATCATGTTCTAGAGACCCAGAAGATCAAAAACGTCCTATAAACATAACCATTCAAATGCATTGTAGCACTGGACGGGTTTAAAGTTCAGATTAGAAGATCCCTTAAGATGCTGCTCTGCAATACTGTTAAGAGATGCAAAATAGCATCATTCTCATGGTTCAAATTTAAATCTGCATGCTACATCATTCATTTGTATTTGTGGTTAGCTGAAGATATGTTTTTGGCCACTTATATAAGTCTTTTTATATAATAATTATTATTATTTTGGTTACCTGAATACAGCAGTTTACACCTGGTAATTATCATGAATATTAATTTTATAAAAATTTTAACTTTAGATTTAAAAACAATTATTCTCAAAAAATATTTTTAATATGTATAACATTTGAGAAAAAATAATTACTAAAACAGAAACAACACTGTTTTAAAAATTATATAAACTAACTTTTTCTGGCATTTCTGTAATTTTGGTCAGAAATAATTTTTCAAGTGTTTGTGCCATAAAAACAACATCCTGTAAAAAAAAATAAAAATATTAATTATAATATTACAAATCCTAAATCTTAACTGGAAAAAAAAGTAAAGTTTTTAAAAATAAACAGACAAAATAATCTCTTTTTAATATTTATTGACATAATAATCTATAGCAGGAGTTTCAAACTTGTGTTCTACGGAACCCTAGGGTTCCAGCAATAAAATCCATAGAGTCTAGTGATGTATGAATGTGCCAATGCAGATTTGCGACGTGAGGTGTAATTGTTCTAATCTCAAATTGAGTCCTAGATTATTTATAGCTTTATAAACATGGAGACAGATTTACGGGATAATCAAATGAATTGAAATCATGATATAATGTTTGACAAAATAATGAAAACCGTAAAAACAAAAAAACATAACCTAAAGCTATAAAATTATTTAAAAAACCTTAAAAAGTATCCAACACATAAATAATAATACAATCATTAAATATGCTTCTATTCATCAATATCTGCAGTGTAAGCCTATTGAATCTAATAACAGGAATATAATCCTTCACATTAATGACTAGTTTGAATTAAGTAATAATATTTGCTTTCCATTATAATCTGTTTTTTTTATTTTATTTTATTTTAAGAAATTGTTTTTATCTAATATCATTAAAAACTGTCGTGGTTCCAACAATTTTTACTAAGGTGAAAAGGGTTCTGCGATAAAAATAAGTTGGGAACCGCTGATCTATAGTAGTTACACCGAATGAATAAAGATTCTAACTTATCAAATTGGAAAAAATTTGATAAAGTTCTTGTTTTTTAAGATAAAACAAATCACATAATTTACAAAGCAGAAATAGAAGCAATGTAGCATCATCACATAATAAACATAATTCAAATAGTAGCAATAATAATTAAAAAATTACATGATGTAAATTATTCCTAATTGAAAGAAAAATAAAAAATTAAGAACTAGGCAATTAATTTGTTTATAATTATTTTAATTTTTTTAAAAGTTTCCACTTTCTTAATTTCTTTCAAAAATATGTATTGTGTTGCTTGCTACATTAAAATAATTAAGTTTCAAATTTTCAAAAAAATTTGAAAAACTTATCATTGATAAATTAATTTCATTATGCAAAACTTCATTAAAATCTTTTTATTTATAAATAAAAATTGAACTGAAATGTTTTTATTTGGAAAAGAGATTATTTTCGATTCAGCAAAAATTACGTAATATAGTAAACCGATTTACTATTTTTAAATTTCAAATTTATATTTGTTAGAAAAGATAGTAACATTGAGGTTTAATATATGTAAATTAAAATGTAATACTTACTTCACCAGGTTTATTGTATACATAACAATTTGTGAACATAGTTTTAAAATCTTCTATACATTCTGAAGCTGAATAATACCAGCAGCTTTCCAGTCGTTTTTTAATCGTACCTAAATCCATCGGACATTTTATAATTTTGTGATAATCCTGGAGGGGAGAAAAAAAAATCACATATTTATTTTACAATACAGAAATATTGAACAACAAATAAAAAATATATAAAAATTAATTTTTGAAGTCAGTATTTAGTTTCAATTGATTCTAATGGTTGCTAAAATTAAATTATCTGTTGTGACTTCTAGTTAAAGTCCAGCCAGCATCAATATCAAATTCACAGCTGTATAGTTTGATGCTGACTGTTGACACTTAAATTCAAATTTGGATTATATTGCTAAAAAGACAGCATTCTGAGATGGAAGTCAGTCTAGTGAATGACAATATAAATTAAGAGAAAAGTAACAAGACTTAAAATGCAGAAAATATTGATAATCATTATGTGGTAATACATAGAAAGCAGAATAAATCCAAATTATGACTCTGTTATCGAACCTTTGCACTTTAAGTTGAATCAAAATTTGGTTTCTGACGAATCAAAATAATATTCCAAATTTTTTTTGTGTGTTAGATAATTTTGAACTTATTAGCTGTGAATTTATCAAGCAACCCAGTGTATAGCATGATAAACATCACATTGAATATGTTTATAATAGGAACTGGATTACATTGGGCTACTTTTCCACAATTATAGTTAATTAATTACTAAATGATTTATTTCTAGAGAGAGGTGTTAGGTGCCATCTCTTATTAAATTTAATAATTATAATTAAATTTTTATTTATTACATAATTTACATAGAATGTTGTTCTAATATAAATGAAAAGCTATGTAACAAGTTGTAATGGATTTTTCTTCTTTGAGAATTTTTTAATATGATTGAAACTGTGTATGGCGCAACAGAAGCCAAAAACATTTTTTCAATAAAAAAAGAATTTGGGTTTCTTTTTGATACATATCCTTCGTATTGTTTTTCCATGGCAGACATTCAAACACAGCAATGGCCATATTGTGCTGTAAAACTTCCTCCAGTAAATGGAGCTTCACTCATACAATTTACTACTGACGGCCATATAATGTATGGCTGTCATTTTTGGAGGGCACCAACTTGATAGGGAACACTATGTAGCAATGGACAGGCAACTTGTGAGTAAATTTTGCTAGGTCTGCCAATTTATCATTACATTTAGCAATATCTTAAGCCAGTTGGTTAAATTTTAACTTTTCAATTGGTTGATTTTTCTACATTGTTATAAATTTATTTAAAGTGTGTTTTCAAATTCTTTTTCTATGAAAAAATTCAATTACTCTTAGGGAAACTAAACAATTACAATTGCATAGAGTGATCTGAATGACATCTGTAAATCAATTTGTAAACTTTCATTTCTTTATATTTGAATTTAAACTTAAACAGGAGTGAACAAAGAGAATATTCTCTAAACTAATGAGCTTTCAGAGTTTTTTATTACCAACACCTGCAGAGTATGAATAGAAGCAAGTATCAGCAGCATTCAGTATTATATCATCTCTACTTCAGTATTTCATTTGTAATGAACAGAACTTAATGTAAACAGCATTAGAACTTTACATTAAGTTAAAATGTATAAATGCACTACTATATAACCAGCTTCATAGTATTCAAATAGAGCTATTTAACATTAGTTCTATTTCTCTGCTTCAAAAACTAATTTTAAAAATAATATATTCATTTCAAAGTGTTTGATTTAGGATTAACTGGCACTAAATACATTCAAGACATACATACAGCTTAGCTAATAAATTTGATATGGTTTAAAAATAATATATTCATTATAAAGTGTTTGATTTAGGATTAACTGGCACTAAATACATTCAAGACATACATACAGCTTAGCTAATAAATTTGATATGGTTTTTATTATGGATCATGCTGATTGCCCTGCAATCAAGGTCATCCAAAATGGCGGAGGAATGAAGAACGACTGCCCGCTCAATCAGATGTAATTTGTTTAAAAAACATTTATTAGGAGAAGTGGCAAATTAAGGATACTTTGTTAAACATATGCGTTAAAATAGATTAATCCGATGTTGTTGTTTGTATACGGCACGCCATTCGCGGGTAATCTACTGAGGAGGTTGCTTCTTGGAAGTCTTTCTACGGGAAAGTAGCCTTATTTAGCTGTTACAAACCTGAAGAAACTCAGAAAAATCCAGAAAATTTTAATAATAATTANTTATTGCAAGATTATTATTCATAATAAGGTTCTTTACTGTTCAAAGAACAATAATATTCTGCAGTTTTGCTAAATTAGATAATTATTTCTCAAATTTTATTTTCTGCAAAAATTATTCATTTAATACCTGTTTAATACAATATAAAAATATTCAACATGACAAAAATTTAATCATTAATAAATTTTATAATGGAGCATTATTACTTACCGGTAAATTTAATTTAACAGCGTCAACAGGTTCGTGAAAAGGCCAAGCAAATTGATGTTTCCATACTGCTTTCATCACATTCTTTAACAGAAACTGAAGTTGATTACTATTTCGGTGGCGCTTATCAGGAGGTGGAATACACGGAGGTTGAACAATGCCGTCTATGGGTTCTAAACTTGGTTGTTCTTCCTCTTTGATAGATGCCATATCGTTACTATTCTGAGGACATCAAAATATAAATTTTAATAATATAAAAATCCATCTGTTAATATTATTGACACCTCTTTAACAATTTTGTTAGCAAAAATTTCAAATGTGTTAATTTTCAAACATTGATATTAAACTCTGTCCAAATACAGTATAAATATCAATGTAAATTATATATTAAATTTAATTCAATTCTTGAAAAATGTAACTACGTTAGTTATATATAACTGACATTAAATAGGTTTGAGAAATACAGTAAACTCCCAATTATCCGTGTGCAGATTATCCGTGCATGAATTTAATTTAAAAAAAATAATTATACGTGTATGTATTTTTTAAATAGTTGCTCGCTTTCATGTTTCCGCATCATATAAGTGTGCACGTACTCGTATTTAGATGTTTGAAGCGGGTGGTGGGGGTATCTGAAGTCAGCTGGACTGGTTTTAGTTAGGCCGCTTCTTTCAAGTCGGATGTTTCTTTTCGGAGGAGAAAACAATAGTGAGTACATTTATACAAAGTTTCGTTTAGTTGCATGTTATAATATGTATCACAATTTAAGATTTGATTATATGTATGTATGTATAATACATATTATACATAATATTTTTTTCAAATAAATAATTATAGTTCGGATTATCCATGTNAATTGCAAAGTGTGTGTTTAACACTTACAGTACAGTTACAATATTGGCATAATGGCTGGTCTTCACCCTTCAAAAGGTATAGATGAGTCAACCGAGTATGCCCAATTCTCAAACGAGTAAGAATTACTTCAGATCTCCCGTCATAATGTTTGTTACATGTCCAATTTTCTATATTCGGCTTGATCTCGTATAGTTTATTGTGGATTTGTGCATTCCACATGTTTTGCCATCGCTCTGCCAGTCGTTTCTTAACTACTAGCTTCAAATCACTTCCTTCGATACAGACATTTCATGCTGTGAAGGACTAGCTGCCTTTACAGCTGCATCAGCTTCTTCGTTCTCTCTTATGCCGACGTGTCCAGGTACTCAACAAAATTTTATAGAGATATTCCTCGTAAGAAGATGGCAAATAAGATTATGAATTTTAATCACTATAGAGTGAGAACTAGGTTCACACGAGATCAAAGCCTGAAGTGCACTAACTGAGTCAGTGTAAATCACACAGCAACGATGACCTTTCCTATTTATATATTTTAAAGCTAAATAAATAGCATGCAACTCTGCAGAAAAAATTGAAGAATTCAATGCAATTTGTTCTGCCACAATTTCATCCTGGCAGACGAAGGCTGAGCCAACGTAATCATCAGATTTAGATCCATCTGTAAAAATAGGAATTAAATTCCTGTCATGATGTTGAATTTCTGCAAAGTGCTGTCTGTAGACGTAGTCTGGCGTGGATTCCTTAGGAAATTGCTTTGAGCTAAGGTCAACACTTATCAAAGGAGTTGACCAAGGTGATATACTACAGATCTCGACATGTGAAATGTTGCCTGTGTTCAGATCAATCTTGCTGCTCACATTCTCCATTCTTATGGCAAATGAGGGACACTATTTGGACGAGCTTCAAATAACCTTTTCAGCTGAGCATCTAATACCGTACAATCAACTGAAGGTTTACTAAGAGATTTTTGTTTTATATAATAAAAAAGAGACAACTGTTCTCTCCTGAGAGATAGTGGAGGCTCATAAGCCTCCACATACAGACTTTGTACAGGAGAAGTTCGAAAAGCACCAGTGCACAAGCGTAATGCTTGATGGTTGATAGGATCCAGAATCCAAAGAATAGATTCTCGCGCAGAGCCATAAACAATGCATCCATAATCCAGCTTTGAGTGGACAAGGGCCCTATAAACCCTGAGCATAGAACATTTGTCTGCTCACCAGGATGAGCAGCACAGTACCTTTAAAAGGTTCGGAGATTTTAGACATCTTCAAATTGCACTCTTCAAATTGCACAAGTGTGGTAAAAACGTCAGTTTAGGGTCAAATGAAACTCCCAAGAACATTGCCTCATTGACCATTGGGATTTTAACCCCATTTAGGTGAATTTCCGGATCCAGGTGCATACCACGCCTTCGGCAAAAGTGGATGCATGAGGTCTTCTCTGTATTAGAAGTAAAACCATTGGTCTTGGACCAATTGTCTATGCGATTTAGGGAGGTTTGCAGTTGTCTCTCAATGAAACTCATATTACTAGACTGGCAGGAGATCTGAAAATCATCCACGTACAGAGAATGTTTTACACTGGGAGAAAGACAGTTAGCTATGCTGTTAATTTTGATTAGGAACAGAGTCACACTCAAAATAGAGCCTTGAGGGACACCTTCTTCTTGTGTGAAAGGCCTAGATAAAGTGTTGCCCATCCTGACTTGGAATCTTCGATTCTGCAGGAAGTTTTTATAAAAGCTGGTAAATTACCACGCAATCCGAATTTGTGCAAATCACGAAGTATTGTGTATCGCCAGCAGCGATCGTAGGCCTTCTCTATATCAAAAAATACAGACACTAAGTGCTGGCGTCTAACAAACGCTTCGCGTATAGATGTTTCAAGGTTTACTAAATTGTCCGTGGTACTTCTGTTCCTACGAAATCCAGTCTGGTGTGGTGAAAAGTAGTTCTTTTCCTCTAGGAGGAACATCAGGCGTCTGTTTACCATCCTCTCTAGGAGTTTACAAAGACAACTTGTCAGAGAGATTGTCTGTAATTAGAGGGATTCTTGCAATCTTTACCTGGCTTGGGAATGGGAATAATGATAGATAGCCTCCAAGAGTCGGGAAAAGTATGTTCTGTCCATATTCTGTTAAACAGACTCAGAAGATTAGAAAGGGAATTATTTGACAAATTTTAAATCATGCTATAGTGGATTTTATCCGGGCCTACAGCAGTATTCCTTGAACAAGAGATTGCTGTATGTAGTTCTATGCTGGTAAATGGCACATTATATTCCTTAATTCCTCATTAGACGAAGAATAAAAATTTAAATTTTGTTTTTCTTTTTGTGCTTTATAAGCTTGAAAATTCCTTGGATACATAATATTGCTGGATGAAGCAGAAAATGTTTCACCAGTAAATCAGCAATACCTTGTATATCACTGATTATTGGGCCATTATTTTCCAGCATGGACAGAGAGTGAGAAGCATATTTCCCATTAATTTTATGGATTTTATCCCAGACTGCTTTTGAGCTAGTGGAACATGTTATGCTTGAAACATACTTCCTCCAAGAATCCCTTTGGCTTTGCCTCCTTATTCTTCTGGCATTTGCCTTTGCTTTTTGAAAAGCAACCAAATTTTCAGCAGTGGGGTATCTTCTAAAAATCCCCCATGCTTTCTTTTGTGCTTTAAATGCTGCCTCACAATTCTGGTTCCACCATGGTTTAGGATGTTTTGGATATCTAGTTGATGTTTTCCCCATTGTTTTTTCTGCTGCCTGAATGATACTGGAAGTGACAAACTCAACTGCATCATTGATATCTGCAGTATTGACCATTTCCTCAGTGATGTTAGCCAAAGAGGAGAATGCAGGCCAATCTGCCGTTTCAAGTTTCCAGCGTGGTGGATGGGCTGTTTCACTGCTTTCTCTGCCTTGGTATTTTAGAAATATTGGGAAGTAGTCGCTAGAGAGTGGATTAGATCCAACCTCCCATGAAAATGCTGAAAACAAGTTTGGGCTTGCTAAGGAGAGATCAATAGCAGTAAATGTCCTTGCTGGAGCATGGAAGTATGTCACTTCTCCAGTATTAAATAAATAGATTTGCTGATTGCCGATAGATCTTTCGATGGCTCTGCCTCGACGATTGATATCGGGACTGCCCCACATAGGATTGTGGCCATTGAAATCACCCAGTAAAAGGAATGGAGTTGGCAGCTGTTCAACTAATGAATCCAATTCATCCTCATTGACTCTGACTTCTGGGGGCAAGTATATAGAACAAACTGTGACAGTTACTCCAATTGAAATTCTGACTGCCACAGCTTGCAAATCAGTTGTTATTTGTACCGGTAAGGATGGGATGCGGTTTGAAACCAGTATAGCCACACCTCCACTGGCACGGTTGTGGCTATCATCATCCTTGCGGTAGAGATCGAATCCTTTTAAAGAAATATTTTCTCCAGGTTTCAGATGGGTTTCCTGGAATGCGACGCAGAGAGATTGGGTAGATGATGTCAAGTGTTTAACGTCAGAGAAGTTGTTGCGGAAACCACGACAGTTCCATTGGGTTATTTTATAATCCATTATGTGTTTGAGGCAGCATTTTTAGTAATGGTATCCCTCTTTAATTTGACAGGGGGTTTTTCTTTTGGGGGTGACGTTGGTTTTGTCACCTGCATATTAGTCTCTTCGTCAGAGATATCAGAAAACTCACTCATAGAGTGAGCTTCTGATTTTTTACATTTAGAGAGAGCTGCTTTCACTCTGTTTGTTTAGTGGGTTCTTGCTAGCCTTTTTAGAACCCAGGTTTCTCGTTACTACCCCTGTTTTAGGTAGGGGTGTTTTAACTCTTGTATTCTCCTTTTCTGGTGTTTTTTGTGATGGGAGTATTAAACATTTTGCATGGCGAGTAACAGATTCCTTTGGGGAAACAGAAATATCAGTTTGAACCCCAAGTGTCTTTGTAGACTTCACAGCAGCCGCAAATGTCTTTTCTTTCAAAGGAGCACTTGAAGTAACCAAACGCCGAGCCTCTGGGTAAGATAAATTGTTTACAGTTTTTACCCGCTGAATCTCTTTCTCTCTCTGCCATGCAGGGCATTTCCGAGAGTAGGCAGGATGGGCGTCTTTGCAGTTGATGCAACATGGAGTAGTTGTACACTCAGTACTGTCATGATCTTCTTTTCCATACTGAGCGCATGCACTTTTTCCACGGCAAGATGTTTGTGAATGTCCAAACCGCTGGCATTTAAAGCAACGCAGCGGGTTTGGGATGTACGGGTGAACTGGGCAACAGAGATATCCTGCTGCAACAGAAGATGGCAATGTTGGCTTGTTGAACATGAGGATAAGATGTTTTGTAGGTACAGTAGAACCTCGAAAACTCGTCCCTCGATAACTTAGCACTCCGGATAACTGGTCCACACCTTGGCAGGGCGAAAAAATCCTTAGTTAATTAATTTTCATTATAGACAGCTTTATAAAAGTATAAAAGCTCTCATAAAGTATTTTTCTGAGGTCTGTCTTATCAGGTAAATTACTGTACACAGTGTATTCATTAATTTTCATTTTCATGTAGTGGCTCTATGCCTTCATAAAGGACGTACTTTTCCTTTGTTTAAGGGTATTTGGGCAGTTTATTCTCTGTTATATTCTGTACAAGTAAATACTGTACAAGTACAGTACAGTATTTTCTGAGGAAATACTCGTACTTATTCTTTTTTAACCCCATTCCCGATAACTCGGCATTTTCACAAACTCGGCCACCCTTCGGTCCACATTAGGTCGAGTTTTCGAGGTTCTACTGTATCACCTTGCCATCACGCCAGATAGAAATGCGTCTGACAGCAGTGACACCTTGATCTGAAAGGCCTATCTGGATATCTGATTCATTTTCAGACATCAAATCTGCCTCCGATATCACACCACGTGATGAGTTTAAACTCTTGTGTGGTGTGATGGTGACTTGTATGTCTCCTAGAGATTTCATTTTCAAAAGCTTTTCAGACTGTTGAGGGGAGGCTGCTTCTACGAGCAGATCTCCTGACCTCAACTTTTGGATTTTTTTAAGATACCCAATGGTCGATTCGAGAAGTTTCTGAATCAAAAAGGGGGAACGTTTAGAAAGGTGTTTCTCCCGCAGCATGGACGATGAGATAAAATGGTTGATTGGAAGAATTAACCTCCTTTGGCGGCAATGCATTGGTACATGTTTTTTGATTTTAATGAATCCATATTTAATAATAACTATTCAGCTCCTAGTGACCCCACCCACTATGGGGCCCAACAAGGGGATGCCGTCACATGGGTGATTCCCATAGAATGTCACACCAGGGTTTCCCAGGAGCTATACCCTCACAATGCAGTCAAGAAGAGCACATCTAGACTGACGTGTCCACCCGGTCTGCATCGATCAGTTGACTCCAGGCCGAGGTCAAGAATGACTCAACGACCAGCCGATTGACTCAAACAGAACCTGATTTGAGCCTCCCGTTTATCCGAAGCAGGGGCCAAAGCAGTGTGTTGGGGACATTATGTTGCCCCTCAACTACCAGGATCCCACTTTCCGGCATACGGGATACCACGCACGGCAAACACGTGGGTGGGCGTTCAGATCCCAGGGATGGTAAAGAGAAGTTACTAAACCATCTCTGGGAGGTCCCCTCACCATGGACAGGAACCCACATCGAGGGGTAAACGAGAATGAAGTCATCGTTATTCCTATTTCGTTAGACTTTTCAAACGATTCGTTACTAACGCATTTAACTCGTTTCACTTTACGAACGTACCTATTATTAAAGACTTCGATACAAAAATGAAAATTTGTGAATTGGCAAAGAAGTTTGATCTATCGGAATCGACAGTCAGAACAATTATAAAAGGCAAAGAAAAAATTCTCAAAGCTGTGAAAAATGCTCAATCTTTAAATTCAAGCATCATTCGTAAATGTCATGGTATTATTGCTGAGATGGAAACAATGTTAAAATTATGGCGTGATAATCAAGTAAATGTGAACAATTGTAAAATAATATAGGCCTAATTTGTTATACATATGTATTATCTAAAATTTTATTAAACAGTTTTTTCTAAATTATTGTTTTCTTTAGTCTCCGGCCCCAATTAAAAATTAATTATTTGTATGTATTTATATGCAAAATTATACCCCGACTTACGCGAATTCAACTTACGCGGTTACCGCTCGGACCCACCTATTGCGTAAGTTCGGGGTATTACTGTATATGCATTCTGTATTTGTTTTACTCTAAAGATTTAGACAATACTTGAAAAAGCAATGATTTAACATTACTGTAATTATCTAATATTTAGAATTACAGTATTTATTTACTTTTTAATTATGATCTTAATAAATTTACAGAAAAGCTAGTAGTATTACTCTTATATATCATTTTTCTCAGTTTAAATATTAGTCAATTCAGTACAAAGAATTCACCACTTATGATTACTTCTAATAAATTGTACAAAATAATTTATTAGTATACCAAATAATAAATTTATTGATAAGTATAATAAATTATCAATAAGTTGGCACAGTTGACAATTGACACTAATACTGTATATACTTACTCCTGTAGATAGCACTTAATGGAAATTACAAAATGTTTTTGGCAGCATTAATAGGCCTTTCTCAGGTAAAAAGGCCATTCCACAGATAGAACAAGGAAGAACATATTCAAAAATGGAAAAACATTCCAAACAGGATATGTGAGAAGCTGGGGTTAGAGGGTAAAAGCTCTAAACCATTTGATCGGCATCAGACTGGTAACAGCCGCTCACTGCGTCACTGGATGGCTTTAAATAAAAGGGCTATTTTATTGAGTGGGGAGTGTTGTGGGTAAGTCAAAAGAATGTCTGTTTCGAATAATTGAAGTCAACACCCAATTAACTAAACAAATAAATTTAATATACAAATAAAGCATATGAAACAATAATCAGCTACAATTACAGTTATATGCACAGACAAGCACATATTGAATCATATATATATATATATCTATGGGATTATCTTTATGGGCTATATATGCACTCTAGTTTAATATCTAAGATGACCAAGAGAGAGTGCACATAAATCGGTTAATTATCAATCATCATACCTCCATACAGTTGTGGCCATAGTCTAAGTGGTAAATTATCCAGGGAGGCCTGGGGAAGCATTTGGGCGACACTTGCACAATTCACAAAGTTAAAGATAATCCTTAGGGACTGAAGTATGGTGGGAGCTAGTGGTCACCTGTTCTATGGTGAAGTCCGCTTGGCATATGGAGGAGAGAGCCACAATCTATATGGCTTCTTCCTGGAGATGTCTGCCCCAATGATGGGGTATATGGCTGTTATATCCTTCTCGAGTGTGGGAATTTAGTCTCATGACTGTTTTCTAGTGATGATACCTTCAATGTATCATCAACAGTCTGGCTAGGGCAGTGGGAATTAGACTTGTTGTTCTCTTTTCATTGCTATATTGTTTAACTTTCGACCTTCTCACGCGTCAATAATAAGTTGTTATAACTTCAATTTGAAACTTTCTCAGATCAATGAGAGGGGTTCTTATTGCATCAAAGACCCCCCTTTTAACACGAGTTTCTTAGTTGATTGTTTACCATTAAAATAACACCTACTTGTCTATTTTCTAATTCCGTGGGAAACAGATAGGAACAAAGAAAAGCTTCTTATCACTTAGCTTTTTGCTAAAATTTACGGAAAAACAACTCCCAGATTCTCACAGGATATGATGTACTTTGTAAATTATAAGATAAAATAAATGACAAAAAACATTATTAATTTTACAAATGATATATTACACATTTTTTACAAATTTGATTTATTTAACATTTAAAAATAAAAACAAAAACACTAAAAATAATATAGGAACTAAAGTTAACAAATGGCTTGTAGGCTTTTTAATGCTCATGTCTAGGAACTTGTAATAGGAGCTGATATACGTTAACAGTCTGTTGGTTCAGATTCAACAATAAAGGAACAAAAAGGAACAATATGTACCCGGGGGCTCGTAATCTGTTTAAGGCATCTTTACTATTGGTAAATAACCTGTGTATAGTATGATATCTTTTATAAAAATGTTGAAGATTAAAATTTTTAGCAATCTGGGTATAAAATCAGTGCATTTCCACTTCATAATTGAGAATGAAGAGTTTAACTGCCTCGGTGTTTGGCAGGGCCTTGCTCTATGGTTGACTGTTTTTCCATAGTGTGTGCTAGTATGTATACAAGCATATACCCAAAAAATGAAAAAAGAAAAAAAAATGATGATAATGCATACCCAATGTACCCACTTATCAGAGAATAAAAGAACTAAATCACATTGAACATATGGCAGTTACTTATAACACAATAAGAATCAGAGTTCAGGGTTCCTCTTTGTTGGAATGAAGATAGATGGCTTTTGTTAAAGATATTTGATAGAGATTTCCTTAATTAATCAGGCTATAAATCCACTATTATTAATAAATAGATACTAAGTAATTTGGTACTAGAGGTAGATGGTGGGTGCCATCTCTTATCTAAATTAATAATTATAATTTTTTAATAACTTAGAACCACCTGGAAAAAATGTTGCATATGGTTATATCTAAAGTTTAAATACATCTGGAAGTGAAGAATTGTTCAAAAGTCCAAGTAGTGTAACTGGCAAGTGCACCACACAGTAAGCGAAGGCTGTGGGTTTGAGTCCCGCTCCAGGCTAGTTCTTTTCTTCCAGATGGTTCTAAATTAGTTAATAAATTATTAATTTAGATAAGAGATGGTGCCTAATGTCTACCTCTAATACCAAATTACTTAGTATCTAAATCATTAATAATGGAAGTTTATAGCCCAATTAATTAAGACAATTGTTTGGTTGTTTTTGGTTGAATTTGGGTGTTTTGTTGCTGGAAATTTTTGCATTTAGGTAAAATTCTATATTATATTATTATTATTGTATCACCAATACCTCTAAACAGACAATTATGATTTATTCAATTGGAATACTAAATTTATATAAAAATAGTGCTTGTTTTCAATTAGAAAAGTATAATATGAACATATGAATAAAAGCATAATGACTGATATAAAACTGTGTACTATGTCTACAATATGAAAATATAATTTGTACATGCATTTTGTTTTATATCTGTATAGATTTATATATGTATAAGCACTCAGTGATTTAAAATTTTGATGAAAGTAATAACTAGTAACTTATCTATACTAATATTATAAAGAGGTAATGTTTGTAAGTATGTATGTAAGTTTGTTTGTAGCAGGTAATCTCCGAAACTACTCATCCGATTTCAAAAATTCTTTCACCAATATTTAAAATGGAACCTCAGGGTGGACATAGACTGTATATTATTCCGTTAAAC